GGATGCACTGGACTCCAGTGGATTCTGACTGGACTCATAGTCCACTGGACTGGGACTGGACTCAGAAAAGTGGCTTGTAGTCCAGTGAGAGTCCAATGGACTGGACTGGACTGGACTGGACTTGAGTCCAGTGGACTGGGGATTGTGCAAGCCAATTTGGCCTGACAAATGGGCCACTGGAATCCACTGGACTCCACTGGACTCCACTGGACTCCACTGGAATCCACATGGATTACGTGGGGGATGGTAAAGACCTCGGATGATTCCCCGTAGACTACTTTGTATAAAAATTTCAATGTCAGTCAGGTTTTGCTTTGCTTGGTTCGTTTAGTTCAGACTATTTAGTTGTCCGGACTTTTCGGGGGTTTCATGTCTCGGGTATGCCGCTAAGTATACTTGTATTAAGCCCAACTTTGGACTACTGTTGTCTATGGTCTCTATACCCACTATTAAGTCTAACTTGAGATTACCTTGGGCCTCCCTTTGGCACCATAATGACTGATACATGTTGGTCCCACATATGTTGCCATTGCCTCCATCCGCATTGGTCCCACATATGTTGCCATTGCCTGTATGACTATTGGGCCCATTTGGGTAGTCCTATGACCCATAGGACAATTGTCCATGTTGTACTTTTATGGTATTATAGGGACAGTTACGTCTACTTGTGCTTTTTCTTTTATTTGTTGTGTCTTTGTTTTTATCTTTTCTTTAACAGATCCTTTACGCATATAGCCTTCTTATCAACGTGTACTCACACACTTAGATGCTGAGTGCCTTTTCCCATCATTCCTTTGTCCTGAAACTCTCACTCCTTTCTTCCTTTCTCTCATTTGGGTAGACGACCAGTTTCTGTTTCTCACTGTTGAACTTTCATTCTTCCACAGTGGTGACCAAGACAGGGGACTGGTATTCCAATCTACTCCCTCTTCAAGTATCAAAAACTCTTTTGGTACGTCCTTTATCATCAACCCCGCACTGAAGACTTTGTTTTAGAGTGCATATAATCAATCTCCTGATTCGCACTTTGGTATGTTCGACTTTCTCGTTTGCACGCTGATTACTCAGCTATCAGACGTATACATCCCTTTTGCATCCCTTGAAATGGGTCACTTCTCTTCTCCAAGAAAAGTCAAGAATGAAACCTTTGACGCTAAGTTTTACCTATCATTCATTCCATTTTCTTTCACTTCTTTTGTTTGATTTCAATGCCTGAATCTTTGATGGAGGACTTGCCATTGGCGCCATCCTCTTCAGAATCGAGTATCGTTACAACACTCAGGATTCCAATGCCCACTCCAGGCACTCCTACCACTCCTTATTTCAAAGGAAAGCGCATAGAGGATTTTCTAGACTCGCTTGAGCAGCATGCAGATAGTGTGTGAGTTGCACATACACAGCTCCCTGGTTATGTACTTCGTTATTGTCACACAAAAGTGCAGATTGTTATTGAAGGTTCAGCTGTTTGGGCTGGTGATGATTGGGTTAAGGCAAGAACTTTTCTAGCTGACCTTTATAGCTTGAACGATGCAATTCCTGTAAACTCACCTGACTGACTTAGGCAGTGGAGTTTGAAGCACAGTGAATCAGGGATAATGCTCTCTCAAAGAGATGTGGATAAGTATTACAGAGAATTCACGGCGCTTTCTTCAGGCCTTGCTCCTTCACACATGCTAGAAACTGAAGTGTCTCTTTGTTTTTATAGAGGGATTCCGTCAACGCTTCATATGAAAATGAAAAAACGAATCCCAGCAGCAAATTTGAAGACATTGTCACCCCCGTCCATTGAGGTCTTAGTGATGCCCTACATATTCCTGCTGGATTCCAGTCATTCCTGTGGATTCCAGAGGAATAAAATTTGGCAGAGACATCAGCCAAAATTACAATTCCAGGGGTCGCAAATTCCAGTGGAATAAATTCAATCCGGAATTGGCACCAGAATGTTCCCCGCAATGCACAGGAACAGAATGCAACTGGAATCTGGTTCCTGGAGTATTTATTAATTAGGTTTATATTGATTAATACAAATGTACGTTGCTAATTCTGGTGACTGTGTCACACATCACATCTTTCCTCTTTACCACCACCACTCTTCACCTTGCCTGCCATCGTCGAGCCCATCATGAGTGCCCAATGGGCCAGCGGTGGGCGTGGTTTTGAATGACATCAACGGCCCACACTGCCCATTGGTTGCCATGTCACCACCGCCCATTGATCGCCACATCACCGCCCAGGACAACAACCAGTACTTTACAGTGCCCCACCCATTCCTGCAGGAATCCACAGGAATCCACAGGAATCCGCAGGAATCCAGAGGAATGGCACCGGAATCCGGAGGAATCCACAGGAATGGCACCGGAATCCGGAGGAATCCACAGGAATGGCACCGGAATCCGCAGGAATCCACAGGAATGGCACTGGAATCTGCAGAAATCTACAGGAATGGGACCAGAATACAATAATACAACACCTTTCCTTTTTGCTATATACATTTACACTAATATGCACTTCTTCACACTGACTTAAAGGGTATAAACACTTTCTTATAACATTTATATATTAAAATTTATATACTTAAACTCAAATCTACATCTAATTTACTATTTTCTAAGTTAAATTAAGGGGCAGGAAGGGAGGGAGGAAGGGAAGAAGGGAAAGAGGAAGGAAGGGAGGAAGGAAGGAAGGGGGGAGGAAGGAAGAAAGGGGTGAGGAAGGAAGGGACAGAGAGTGGTGTGGGGGTGTGATCAGCAGAGGAAAGGAAGGAAGGGAGGAGGGACAGGCAATGTGTGGGGCAGGCTCTGGGGAGGGGATGGAGGGGGAGAGAGTGGTGGGGACTAATGAAGGGGAAGGGGGTACTGCTGGGCCTCGTCGTCCATCGTCGTCGTCATCCTGGGTCGTCGCGTGGTTATCGTCGTGCTGTCGTCATCGCGTTGTCGTCATCGTGGGGTTGTCGACGTGTTTTCGTCGTCGCGTGGTTGTCGACGCGTCGTCGTCGTCGCGTTGTCGTCAACGCGTTGTCGTCGTCACGTCGTCGTCGTCGTGTTGTCGTCAACGCGTCGTCGTCGTCGCGTCGTCGTGTTGTCGTCGTCGCGTCGTCGTCGGCTTGTGATGTGGCATCGTCGTCGTGGGCGCTCGTGGATGGTGGTGGGTTCGTCGCGTTGTCGTCGTTCTGTGACGTGGCGTTGCGGCGTTTGCGTGGTTGTCGTGGTGGGCGCTCGTGGATGGTGGTGGGTGCTCGTGGATGGTGGTGTCGTCGTCGTCGTCCGTTTTCGTGGATGGTGGTGTTGTCGTTGTCCGTTTGGCTGCCACGTCACCGATGGTGGTCGTTGCCGTTCGTTGCTGGGTGGTCGTTGCCGTTGTGGAGTCGTTGTCGTCGTCGTCGTCGTGGGTCGGCGTGCCGTTGTCGGTTTATCGTGGCTGTCGTGGGGGTGGGAAAGAGGATGGTTGGTGGTGGTGGAAGGGAATGAGTTTGTTTGGTAGTGTTGCCTTTGTTTGGTAACGTTGCCTTTGTTTGGTAACAGAGGTAAAACAAACAAACAAAGGACCGGATTCCGTTGCATTCCGTTCCTGTGCATTCCGCGGATCATTCCGGTGTCAATTCCGGAATGCCCAAATTCCGCCGGAATGGTAAGGCACCGGAATGATGAAAATAGCAGGCCTCCCTGCTAAATTTCATTCCTCTGGAATCCACCGGAATCCGCAGGAATGACCGGATTCCTGCAGGAATTAGGGGGGCACTGATAAGACCTCGACAACAACCTCAAATACCAGCAACGCCGCCGACAATCAACATGACCACCATCAACAAAAGGCGACGAGTAGTGTTTGAAAGTTAGGTTAGTTAACCGGAAAATAACCGGACCTAACCGCAACACTAACCTAACCGCAGTTAGGGTTAGTTGATTTCGAAAATGGAATAACTGGTTATTTTGCGGTTAACTAACCATTAAATAACCTGTTATAACCAGCCCTATTATACACCTTCAAAACGCACTTTAGAACGTCGAAAATGCTTAAAATTTGACTAAGTTACAGTCAAATCTCTAAAATATCACTCAAATGTGTAGACTTTCAAGGATAATTCCATAAATATGTCAATTCTTCACCGATTTTAGCGTTCTTGGGCTCGTTTTAAAGCTAGAATATGCAGAAATAATATCTATCAAGGTACATATGAGCATATTTGCCTTGTTATAACTGATTCTTTATTTTTCGGTCCTAACCAGTTAGTAACTGCAAATAACCGACCGTAACCGGTTAGTTGCGGTCTGGTTAGGTTATTTCAGGTTTCGGGACAAAGGCTAACTGGTCTTGGTCTCGGTTAGAGCCCCTGGGCACCCAATAACCGGACCTAACTGGACTTTTGAACACTAGCGACGAGCACCCACCACATGGCGACAAGCACCCACCACATGACAACCTCAATACCAGCAATGCCACCAACAACCACCACGACCACCATCGACAAAAGGTGATGAGTAGTGTTGCCGCGGCTCGGCTAGCCGCAAGCCAGCTCGCTGAAACGGCGGCTTTTGCCGGTTCTGGTTTGTGATTGCTCGGGAGCCGATCAAATCCGGTTCAGCTCAGCTTAGCCAATGGTTTTGAGCCGGTTATAGCCAGTAAATGTTGCCGCAATTGATGACTCGTGCATTAAGTACAGTGAGCGTAAATGTGTAATAAAATTCAACATAGATGTACAGCGTGATGGTATGTAAGGTTGCATACATTACAGTGAACAAAAAATAGCCCTCTCAATCATCGTCATCCTGTCCAACAACGTGAATTACCTCATCAATATCTATACCATCCTCCCTAATCTCCGAAGTTAGCTTCCCTAACAAATCTGCTAAATCTTCGTTGTCATCTGCATGGTACTCGAGTTCATCTTCTGTAACAGCCCAACCCTCCGTAAAGTTAAGCCGTTGCTGCTTGAGCGAAAATTTCAACATTTGAAGTGCCTCCATTAGAACAGGGTGAATTCGATTTCGCCTCTTCGTATCAGTTTCGGCACTGGATGAAAAAACGCACTCAGAAGGAACCGAGGATGCTTGAATGGGTAAGTAATTTAACGCCATCGCGTACAATATTTGATGGGTTTCCTCGCTTATCTGCAAACAAATCAGTGACGCAGATTGGAAAATAGTGAGACATTGTACTTACCGCCCAAAACCCTATAATATCCGTGCCACGCGGTGAGACCGTCCCATTTCCATACAACTCAAACTGTTCTTCAACTCCTTGGCCCGACGGCGAAGGAGCGCCCGAAACCTCCAACATATCTTCGAGCCCATATCGTCCAGCTAAATCATGCCAGCTTCGCCTCTGTTGCTGTGAGTCCATACTAGATGTAGGTTGTTGAGCTTGTCCATGAAGACGGTCATGGTATTTTCGCATCTGCAACAAGTATATTAAGGGTACTGTCACCATAACAAACTGAGCGACTTACAGTATTCTTGATAATTATGATGGCCCTGGCAACATAATTAGGCTCCCAGTGTCGTCGAATCCATGACAATCGTATCGAGGGATTGAGAACTGGCCATGTCAAGTTATTAAACAATGTATGAATCTGAACCTTAACTCACACATCGCGATAACGTAGGCAGGCGAATCATCCATTTTCTTGTAGTA